TGGGTTTCTACTATAAATAAGATTGACCGGTGCACATGCATCGTTACTGAAGAAGGCAATGTATCTATCCGCAGACCTGGCTGCCAACGTAGTCCGAACTGTCGATCTCACATTCGTCTCGCGAATCTTGACTGGTGATCTTGCCCAGAAAGATATGTCCGATGTGATGAGACGCTGAGAATCAGCCTAGAGGTAAGTAGAATCATCCGAGACATGGAGACGTTTATGCAATGCTGACTACTGGGTAGACATGTGCAGCTTCATCACCCATCTCCGGACGTGCTGTGTCTGCACCGAAGAGGAGGTAATTCTCATATCTGAGCGGACGTGCTCGGCAGCGAGGAAGAGTGGCATCTTCGGAAGCTGTGGCAGAGGTGTCAACAGCAGCAACAAGACGAACAAAACTCCCTATCAGTGCTGGAAATGCAAAGAAGTTAGAGACAAGGATGTGTATCTCAGGTCTCTAAAACTGAACTATCTTTGATGAGGATCTGTTTTGCTCGACTATCGACAGAGGCTACACATCTTCTGAATTGGAGACGTCGAGAGCTGACATGCACGCTACGGAGGCATACGATTTATGGCATCCACCAGTCGGTTCAGGAGACGTCGAGTTGTGGTGAGAGACGATGGAGGATTTGCGAGGGCTCTTGTCTATATCTGTGTATATGTATATACGTGCTGGCGTTGAAGCCTGGAGGAACGTGAATAACTTGAAGCTGATGAGGCTGCGAGCTGCTTCGAGACTTGGAGATTAAAGTGGAGATTCGTCTCTTGCAGCGGGACCCTGGCGATTGGTTCGACCCGAAACGGGGCAAAGGGTCAATTTTGCTGCGATGCAGCGACGTCAAATAAAAATTTCGGGTTCGCATTGTGTCGCTCATAGTCTCATAACCATCGTCCATCTCTGATACCCCCAACCACGCCCCTTTCCATCCAGACAGATCGCCTTGTGAACTGAACCCGAGTCGCATTCCCTCCATCCATCTCCTTCGCACATCCACATTCACATCTCCGAAAATGATGTCCCTCCGTGCCATTGCCCGTTCGGCGCCTCGCACCACCTCCCGTCTCAACTCCGCCCTCCTCCGTCAATCCAGAGTAGCCCAGCCCGCCGCTCTGTCCAGGACGTTATGGGCTCCTCTGCGCACATCTCAGCTCGCTTCTTTCTCCTCAACTCCCTTCAGACAAGCCGCGGAGAATGAGGTCGACTCTGAGTTGTTGAGCAAGCTCGAGAACGAGCTCCAGTATGAGAGTGAGATGAAGGAGAGCGAGCAGCTCCCTGCCAGCGTCAAGGACTTCCTAGAAAACAGCCCTTACGAGCTCAAGGACGAGGCCGGCAAAGAGGATGTCTACCTAACGCGCAAGTTCGGCAACGAGACGTATGTGCCATCTCTCCATTTTCCCATCACCCACAACGTCAATTTGTCCTATGCTGACAATTTCTGTGCTTCAGCATCACCGTCTCCTTCTCCATCAACGACCTGACCAACTACGACCCGGACATGTACAACGAGGACACCGCTCTGGGCGATGAGGAGATGGACACCCCTGAGGACAAGGAGCTCGCGGCCGCCGAGGCTGAGGACATGGAGGACCCTGAGGGCTCCGAGCCCATGGTGCCCTGCCACCTCAACATCGTTGTCGAGAAGAACGGCAAGGGTGCTCTTAACATCGAGGCTACCGCCCAGGACGGTGCTATCATGGTCGAGAACTTCTACTACTACAAGGACGCCAGCCTCGCGCACAGCACATCCCCCGCTGCCGTCCACGCCGCCGAGGATGTCTACCCCGGCCCTCCCTTCGGCAGCCTCGACGAGGACCTGCAGATGTTGATGGAGCGCTTCCTTGAGGAACGTGGCATTGGCCAGGCTCTGGCCCTCTTTGTCCCTGACTACATGGACGTCAAGGAGCAGCGCGAATACCAGTCATGGTTGACCAACGTCAAGGACTTCGTTAAGGCTTAAGCGATGATTGTGAAAAGAGAATAAAAGGATAGTGTACGAACAGAAAGCGAGTATGGACTTCGCTTGGATCTCCGGGTGGATCTGCAAAATGTGTATCATCAGGAGGAATACCGAGTTCCTTGTGTAAATTTTCCACTCCCAGGGCGTGTAACAACTGTAACATACTACTTGGCATTGCAATATGCCTGATTTGGGGTAATGGGAGACGAGTGGCCTGAACATGATGAAATGGCTTTAATACGACGTAATTACCTTCCAATCTGATGCGCTCTGTCCGAGTGTTTTTTCCGATGATATATCTGTGATCAGTGGACAAGAAAGAGGGGGTTAGCTCAGTTGTGCCTTCTACCTTATGGCCAAGTGACCACAATCCGTGTCAGCATCATAATGAGCATCAAGTTCAACTAGTTTACCATCCGTTCATAACCAACCCACCTCCGTGTCAATTTATGAGAACCTGCAAGTAGCTTCAATTGCTTTCAGTCTTTCATGCTAGCAAAATGCTTCACTATGTACAGCTGATCATCCAGACCATCGGCACCAACTTAGATTTCCCCCATCTCGACAGATGCTCAGAGCAGCATATGGTGAATCAAATTGAACGGCATGCATCTCGACTAGCCCTGAGAGATCTTACGAAGCGAAGACCTCGATCTTAGCCGAGCCACTGCTCTGATATCCCTCAGTGGCAACAATCTGGTAGTCGTGTGTGCCCAGCGTCAGACCGGCGCTGGTCCAGGCGTTGAAATGGTTCGCAAGGGTGACTGGCATCATCGTTAGTATATCTACCGCTATGCTTGGCACACCGGAGAAATGGAGATCTGGAATACTCACCAGTGCCACCGACACGCTTCTGCTGGCGGACGGACCAAAATTGGTAGAAGGTTGACTATCATCACACATTCAGTCTCGATTCCTTTTCAAACCCCCCTGAATAGACAAGAGAAGAAGAAAAGCACACTCACAGTCCCCTCGATACTCGGCTGGTTAACCCGTTGCGTCTGGTAAATATCATATGTTCCCCCATCGGACTCAATAGTTCCCCTCTTCGTGGCGCCTGAAGACGGGTTATACGAGCCGAAAGACTCGACGACGTAATACTCGATGAGCGGATTCTTGGTCCAGCCGTACACCGACAAGTAGCTGTTCACGCTCGCCCCGTTCCAGGTCCCGTTGTAGTTCACGACGCGCGAAGCGCCTGGATTCCAGCCTTTGCCTGCTACGAAGTTGCCCACGTTGCTCCATGTTACGTCATAGGCGCCTGCTGCGCCGTTGTTGTCTGGTTGTGGAGAGGTGGTGTTAGTCTGGGGCCAGTCGTCTGGACCCGGAGGGCTCTTTGTGGGTTTGGCTGGCTCTCGAATTGTCTGGGCTGGGGTTTGACTTACAGGTCACAGAGCCTTGACCATCAGTCCAGAAGCTGTAGAAGAACCCATTGTTCTGCCCTGTGCCAGGCGAAGTTCGGGGATACAGCTCCAAGGGCGAGGCGACTGCCCCAGCCGCAGCTGTCAGGGCCACGAGTAGTGTTGAGCCGATCATGATGAATTATTCAATCTTCTGCGATATTGGTCTAACTCTTTGTGTTGTTCGAACTCGAGATACAAGCTCTCGTGAGATCATAAGGTTTATAAGTTTATCTGCTCCCCGATTCAAGAGGCGCCAAGCGCCAGATATGGGAATGGCGCTCGAATTGATCCGTTCCTGGTTTCCGAGGCCCGCCTCAAGTAGTCGATCTTATTGAACCGGCGTTTGTATGTGAGGCGAATCTGGGGAATGCATATTGGGGTTGCGTTTTTGCCGGCGGCTAATACGGCCAGACCCTGCAGGGCCCTTTGACGCATTTTGTTTGTGCGAGTCTTCGATATCGCGGTGAGGGGTACCTTGACGTGATATTGCGGTTTGGCCTGATTTTGATGCTTTGCGTGTGCCATTGGCATAGTTGTATAGAAAATTTTACATAACGACGTCCATGACGGATGCTGGCGACTCCATTGCCACCACAACCAGTCGTGCAGTGGCAACTGCTGACGTACCTAAGTCTTCATGTATGAGTGTCATGTGAATAGTGAAATTCAACATTCAGATCAGCGCTGAAGATGTCCTATATTGAAAGTTTCTTATTAAACAGCACAAAGGCGCCTAGGTGCCGTGAATCATCCGTCATCTAGACTTCAAATGACACCCGCTGTGCAGTGTGTTAATAGAGCTATACGGTGCCTCAATCGTTGTTCTTTCTCTTTTAATTTAATGATGGGGATGGGTACGGCCAGCGAGATTTCTACGTTTGCGAAGCTAGACGACAAGCATGGGGGCGCAATGTATACACCTGGCTGTGTGTAGCTTTCAATTCGTATTGTAAGGATATACGAGTTTATGTAGGTAAATAAGTATAGACTCCAAATGATAAACTCATGATATCATACACTGAAAGTAATGGGCGGCGAAAAATCAAATAGAATCCATCGCAGTGACTCGTACAGCAAGCGACCAAACTAGCGACTAAGGGTTTTTCCATAGACTTAGAAACTGCCTAATCCCCTTGTACAACTACGCCAACCAATTCGTTGTCTGGTCATAATGAACTGCTAACGAGGGAGATGCTGGTTTGGAATGCACTACATACTAAGTTTCCATATTGCCCTGCGGGCGGTTGCTGTGGTGCTTGGGCAGTATATGAGGAACTCAATGTCGCCAACCGTCAACCCTCTACTAGCATGAAAGCGGTTACGGTGAACGGCAAAGATACTCACGCCCTGCCGTGAAGACCAAATTGCTGTTCTTACATGGGAATCCATAATACTTGCCCTTCGCTGTCACTGTGTGATCATACCAAGTATAGCATAGCAGATACAATTGCTGAACATAGCCACGGGACGATTCCAACTCACAGTGATAAACAGCTATTGTGCCGAGTTCATTACAAGCCCACGCAATAGAGCAAGACACATACGCCAAAAAATCTAATACTATCACGACAGTTAAAAAATAAATGATCAACAAACGTGCGAGAACCTACAAGATTCAAAAAGGATATTCTGGTCAGTGTAGGATTTGAACCATACGACCTTCGCATTGCCAAATATCTCGGTTCCGAGGATATCAGTACGATGCTCTGACCAACTGAGCTAACCGACCTTTTTGTTGTGAGTCGACAGTGAGAAGTCTTTCATTAGCTTACACGGGTAAGCAAGTTCGTAAGTCTGGAGTAGGTGATATATCGCGCTTTAGATATATGGTTGAGGTTCGGCGTCAGCTTGGCTGACGGGAGATATAGCGGGAATGTTGACCAGTAGAAACATAGCGTGGTCATGTTGCTTTGAAATCAAGTTCAAGGTTTAGCACGAGAAGAATACGTGAAACTCGACTTCTAGTCAAACAATCCTTGAGAACGGTACAGCGCCGGAACATATACGCGAAAGGGCTGATATATCATCGAAGCTGAAACCCGTTTTCCCGAAGAAAGTCCTTCAAAACATGACGACCAGTAAGAGACTGAACAGTCTCAACTCTCTTCGCACTTCGCTGCGTCCAAGACGGCATATCACCCCGTCCCGCCTGTGCATTGAACCCTCTCATAGTCTCATCAAAACCCTTCAACCTTTCGTCTTGAGCCTGGGCCTCACCATTCTCCTCAGCATCATGCCACGTCTCCCGATGAAGAATCTCATTCTGTGGTAATCTCGGCTTCGTCACCGTAGGCTTAGACGGATCAGGTTTCCCAACCGCCATCCCAAACACGGCAATAACACGCGGTGGTAGCCTAAGCAAATCACCCAGTTCCCGTGAATTATTCCGTGCTCCCCCGACATAGCATATGCCCAACCCCAGAGCTTCAGCAGCGACAGCCGCATTCTGTCCAGCGAGCCCAGCGTCTAGGGATGCCATGAGGAACATCTCCGTGAACTCCAAGCCTTCACCACGCAGTCCATATTGCGCCGAGACTTTGGTCAAACGGCTTAGATCGGCACAGAATATGAGGAACAGCGGCGCTTGGCGGATGAAATCTTGGTCGCCGCATAGACTAGCAACTTTGTCCTTGCGGTCCGGATTCTCGATGGCGACGACACTCCAGGTCTGCAAATGGGAAGACGTGGCAGCGCTTTGCGCCGCTGCAATGATTATCTCAAGACTGCCTTCGGGCAATTTATCAGGTAGGAAATGCCGTATTGATTTGTGTTGTAGCAATGTCTCCAATGTTGGATTCTCGGAGTCTACATACGTGACCTTCGAGGTTTCTGCTTCTGAGGCGCCGTATCGATTTTTTATCAAGCTTCCAATGTTCGCCATATTGTCTGGTACGTAGAAGGATAACTGCCTGGAAGACTGAAGTCTCAGAAGTCTATAAGGAGTACGACAGGGACTGTCAAGCAAGATTCTGGGTTCGTTACTCCCCTTATTCCAAAATAGACAACAGTTGATTGACGAGATGAGTAGTGGGCAGCATAGGAGATTTCACAAGAGATGCTGCCTTTCCATTGGCTGCATAATGCGACTGTAGCACCGATGTGCGTGATGAGAGTGATTGCGTGATGTGGAGATAAAGTATAATGCGGAGTTCCGATACAATCCCGACCTCTGATTGAGGCTTCTCCAAATAACTTCCCCTTATTCCAGTTTGTAAGTCTGATAGGACGTTTCCGATACTGTATTGTTTAAGCCATTGCGGAACGCCAGTGGCTTGTCATCGTGCGCAAAAGTTAGCGTAAGTCTGTCTAGCGACAACTGTCCAGTGTATGAAAACAATGTAGTTCATGAAAATAATCTAAAAGCATCGCTACCCTATTCACTACTACCATGAACTCATAACATGTGACAGGGCCTCTGAGACCTATCGAAGGCCGCCTGATGCACTAATTCTTGTATTAAGGGGGCGTCGTAGATTACGGTTGATTTTGAAGGCAAACACACGTCAATAAATAGACGTCTACACAATTCCGTAATGTCCAATTTCTCCGTCTTGACTCTTGAAGCAGTACGTAATTTGCATCCATCCAATCGAGTGATGCGTGTGTAGATGGCGCATCTTTGAGTTGCTGTTCGATCTCGTGTATACAGTATGTACAAATTCACTACCATTCAAAATTTGGATCAAATGCTCACTCAGTAACATCTACGACAGCCAACATCTACAATAGAGATTCTTGTGAATGTATTCAGGTATGACTAACAATATACTCGAAGGTAACGAAGGGAATACGTAAAGACAACTCGGGGTATCAATTTCACGAGACGTAAATCATCCCAAAATTCCATGATGTCTAAACGATAACGAGCTCATCCAAGGTGATTAAGACACACAACCATGATCCTCAGTAAATAGCAGTGCCAACATAAAATCGCCATGTACATTGTAGCCTCCATCTTGCGATTACCCCCATCTTGAAATGAAAGGGTATCTTATCATGTCATCAGTCATAAGGTAAGAAGAAACGGAAACGCAAATGCGTCTAGGATAGATCCCTAGAAGGTGCCCTTTCCACAAACAAAGAAGTGAAGATCTGGATAAAGTAACAATGCACAATGAAATCGTATCCGGCTATGCAGCGAATGTTATCTGTCAAAAACATCATAACAGGTAATGATTCGTCGTCGATGACCCCAGGATGTGCGCGTCGTAAATCATAAACAGTAATAAAGAGGGGAGAATGTACGTCTCATTCCGTTGGTTGATGGAGGTGAAAGTGGGCTAAAGTTCATCGTGATCTCAGATCGTGGGCTAACTGGATACGACCAGTCTAAAATGCGGCAGCCGCACTTCCCTCGCTAGTTGCCACTGCTACGAGGGCTTGCAACCGAAGCATCTTCTCCTTTTCGGCGGAGTCTTCTTGTCGGTGAACAGGGCCCGTGTTTACAAGAGTGTTCTCTCTCGCTGGAAATCCCGAAAATTCGTGTATGTTGGGATGGATCATTCGCTCAACACGAGCCATCTTTTCGGGCGGCGCGTCGGCGTGGACTGAGATAGACCCCGGGTACCAGCCTCTTCGTTTTGAGTCTCGCATCGCTATTGATGGTGCTGACATGGTGTGCTGGTGGAATGCTCGAGGAGGACTGCGAATAGTGGGCGGAGCATTTTCAACCCTGAACGGCTCGTGAAACCGCACAGTCGGAGGGTTATGCCTAACTCGATCGATCTGTGCATCCATCGCTTGATTCGCCTCTTGCGCCCATGAACTCGCCGTATCTACAGGTGGCGCAGGATTGGAAGTTATATCAAGACGCGTAAGTCCACGATGTAGACCCATATCCCATGATTGGGCCCCTCTTTTTTCATCAGATTCCGTCGTCTTGATTGTGGGACGTAGTGGTTGGTGCGGATTTTCGGCATCTCTCATCAGTGGTGATGAAGTTTGCCCAAATGGAGAGGCCGAGCGGTGAGGCAGAGATGTGAAAGACTCAATTCCGGGCAGCCGGAGTGTGTTGTTGGGCTGTGGTTGTGGCACAGCTAAAGACACCTGGCTTGGTGGCGGACTTGGGTACTGCGAAGGTGTTACAACATTGCTCAAGCGGCTCCCTGGATTACCAGGCCCATAATTGTTCGAGTCTGGATGCCAGGTTCGACGCCGCCAATCTTCCGTAGTGGATGTTGAATCTCGCCGAGAAAAGATGGATGAGGTAGGGGATGCGAGGATACTTCCTATAGGCGAATAAGGGGCTGGAGTAGAACCGCTGATCGGCCCGGGAGGTCCAGGACCTAATATCGGCCGACCCATGCTCGTACCGTGCGGCGACTGAAAAGGAACACCGCCAGAAGGCACACTGAGACGGCGAGCAGGAGCCCTCGAGCTTACATACAGGCTATGAGTGCGCGAGTGCGATGATGTAGGAGACGCGATGACAGACCCCCACCGCGGACTGTTCTGCCCAGTTGAAAAGGTCGCCGATGTGGGAGTACTGAAGTCACTGGGCGATGGCGGTCGATATGAATAGTTTTCCTGTGTGTATGGAAACCTTGGGTCTGCCATGACCAGCGGTGGGGGTCGGCGGCGAACATCCTCCCTCGTACTGAAATTGGACCCAACAGAACTGATACTTGAAGTCGAGAGTGATTTTGAGTGGCCTCGAGTTGGTGCGCCCATGCTGCCAGCCGTTGAGGCTCGGGCCCGACCAGGTTGCCTCACTCTATCTGTTCGAATTTGCCTTTGGAATCGGGTTCCTGTCGCAGCAAGCGAATCGATCGGGATGTCCTCGTTCACATGTACGGTTTGGGCATGCTGCCGAAGATTGTCCAGACGGGAAAACCGTCTTGAGCAGTGACACTGAAATGGTCGCTCACCGGTGTGTTTCCTAGCATTCGTTAGTATAAAGCCCCAGGTCATACCCCTTTGTAGGTGCACATTACCGTATATGTCTAGCGAGGTGTTCGCTCCGCGTAAAACTGAGACTGCAAGGAGGATAGTCTGTGCAGTAGAACCGCTGGGACTTCTTCTTCTTGCCTGACTTGGAGCCATCAGCATCGACGCTTTCGTCGTCCGACCCAGCCCCATCCTCTCCCTGGCCATCTCCGTCGGATTCGTCCATATCTACATCTTCGGAATCACCACGCGATTTTCGGGAATGTTGTGAGTTCTTGCGTTGTGGCGTCTTTTGCTCCTCAATACTCTCGGGAATCTGTACAGCTTGAGGGAATGGTGAATTCGGGAGGGGCCGTTGTCCGAAGGTGGTCTTGGTTGGGGTCGGGGTTGTCGGCGAGGTTGCCATCTCGACGTCTTTCTCGGATTCCATGGTCGCTGGCGTGTTGACAGGACGAAAGGTCGAAGCCATGTTGTACGAACCTAAAGGAGCTGAAGACGCGCGCAATTATTCCGGCAGTTGTCCCCGTTAGATCCAATTTTTCACTATATGTGGGTGTGACTTCCAGTAAATGCGAACCTGCGGCAGCGGATATTGCGGAGGTTGGTGTTTAAGACAGACCAAAGAGGGAGATAAGGCCACCAGACGTAAGGGGTTGGGTCATAAGAGAACGCCTTAATCAGAAGCCACGATACTCAGCCGAGGTGTCGGACTCCATGTAAGGCGCTCTCGATATGTCTGAGAGTAAAACTGTCTTGTTTTAGGTTCATAGACAGATGATGCTTCACTGCTGGCGGCTGGCTGAAGCCGACCGTGAGCTACCTTGAGTGACGTTCCGGGAATGT